CCAGTCCCCGGCTTGAAACCACTTCAGGGACTCGTTTGCAGGAGGGAGTGATGGGGAGTGAGCCCTGGGCCCAGGGAATATTCTACACTATAGAACTTTCCATGTTTATTGACTGAGTCATTCAGCAAGCATTTAATGAGCACATACTATGTGCTGGGCACTGGACGTGTTACTTCATCTTCCCAGCAAGCTCCTAGGGCCGTGTATTTGTTTCTGTTGCTGTGTAACACATTACCCCAAACTTAGGGGCTTAAAACATTTGTCAGCTCAGCGGGGTACCTCTCGGCCAAGGTTTCCCATGAGGCTGCAGGGCTGAGGTCACCCCAGGGCTGAGTTCACCCCAAGGCTGACCTGGGGCTGACGGATCCATTTCTAAGCTCATTCGAATGGTTGCTGTGGGGCCTAGGCAGACTCCCCTGCAAGCTCACTCACGTGGAGCTCCCCAGGGGGCTGCCTCATAACACGGCAGCTGGCTGGCCCAGGGCGATGGGCCCGAGGGACAGTGAGAGTGCCCAAGTCGGAAGTCGCAGTATGTTCATAGCGTAGTCTTAGGAGCAACATGCCATTCCTTCCTCCATCCTGTTCCGCAGAAGTGAGTTAATCAGCCCAGCCTACACGGCCAGGAAGGGGGTTACACAAGGGTGTGAATACCGAGAGGTGGACTAATTGGGGTGGCGATTTCAGAGGCTACCTGCCACAGGTGAGGTGTTATTATCCTGCACGTCACACTCAGACACCCAGCCGGTTCAGCAATGCGTGCAGATCACCCGGGAGGGGGGCTGTCTGACCGAAGGGGTTTCCGTTTCACCAGACGAGCTGGGAGACGGAGGCTGCATAATTGCCTGCCGCCGTGCAGCCGATGGCCCACAGTTTAGTGGCTGAACGCCAGCACCGTCACCTGGCGTCGTTTCTAAGGGGCGGGCATTTCCAGCTGCTGGGCCTGGGCTTTGCCAAGACGACCCCTCTGTAATGGTGCTGGGGCGTCTCTCTGACCCGGAAGCTGGCTTCCTCCAGAGCAGGTGAGTCAGGAGGGTTTAAGCAGAAGCCTCAAGGCCCTGTACGGCCTGACCCGAGGAGTCACACACTGTCATTTCTGCAATGTCCTCTTGGTCACCCAGGTCCGGCCTCTTCGCTGTGGGAGGGCATTGCACAAGGCCATGGCAATACCAGGAGGCTGGCGACTGCAGGATGAAGAATCCTAAAACTCAGCTGCTAGGAAGTCACTCCCCTGGGCCGAGAGATCCAGGGCTTTCCCACTCACGCCTTAGCGCTACCTCCCCCCGTCATTCGGGCAGGTGGGCCGGCAGCCTGGTGGTGTGCAGACCTCAGCAGTCCCCACGGAGATCCTCTCTGATGCGCCCTGCTCCCACCCTCCCTGTGCTCCGGGGAGACTGGCCTCCCTGGGAAGCCTCCACGCAGCCTTCACAGACACGGCTCCCCTCCACAGGCAGGCTCTGCTTGGATGCTGGGGAACCACAGGGAACAAGCAGACGCCCATCCTCCCTGGAGAGTTACCACTCAAGATGGGAAGGAAGACACTAGCCAGTTACAATAGTCTAGTCGCAAACGGTGACAGGTTCTCCCAGGGAAAACTACAGGGTGCCCATGAGGGCATCTACCAGGGGACCGGGCCTGTGCCGCATGCAGTGTTTGCGCTGAGGCTGGGCAGGTGTTCTAGCACCTGGTTTGGGTGTAGGTGTCTGAAAACCCAAAGTAACAGTAGCTCAGACAAGACTGATGTTTATTTCTCTCTCTCGCTTAGGTGTCTGGGCAGATGTGTGAGGACAGGTACGTGTCACTCTGTGACAGAGACTCAGGCTCCTCTATCTTGTTGCCCTGTGCTGTGTGGCCTTCCGTGCCACCGGGGCCCAGCCTCAGCGGGGTCTCAGGGTCCCCGAAGGATGCAGGGCTAAGGCGAAGAGACTGAAGCAAGACACCCGGCGGGGTGCCAGAGGACAGCCAGGCTTTTCGGGCCTGACTGACTCACCGAGAAAAATCAATCTTTATTTTTATAGGGGAGGTGATACAACATTCAGTGCCTAGTGTGATTATTAAAACAGGAATGGTTACCACAGAAATAATTTCTAAAACCACAGAAGGTTTTACAGATCAACCATGTTAAACAAGGAAATAACGGAAAAGTGCAGGAGGTCCCACAGATCAACCATATTAAACAAAGGTTATTTTGACCAAGAGGGTCATTAATCAGGTAGCCAATGAAGCTATACGGGCACAAACTTTCAGGTGCCAATTAGTAACTAGATATCTATTAAAATTCTAGGAATTGGTCTAAATTAAAAGGGTGCAAGGGGTGATCTATAGATATATAGAAATCAACTATTATCCATTAAAATTAAATTTATCTCAATTAGATAACTAATTTTTTGCCTATGTTTTTAAATTTATAAATCTTGGGGGGGGGGCATGTTTTTTATTTGTTTCCATGTACTGAGATTATTATTTCCAACTAGAACCCCTTGCTTCTTTACATTCCTGTCCAGGGTATGGGAGGAACAGTGGCTCTAATAAATCTTAAGCTTTTGAGTGGTGACTCCTTAAGAAACATTCCTATCAACAGCTTCCTTCAGCGTTCTGGCAGTTGGTCTGCCCATAGTTTAATTTTGTCCTTAACTTCCCAGGTGGGGGAAGCAGGCAGCATTAGGGTTGCTAGGGTCTCTAGTCTGTGGTCAGCAAGTCATTTCACGAAGTCAGAATCAGAGGCATCGTGCAAATTTTTTATTAAAACACACAGGCATCTAAAAATCCACCACCTATCGCTAGCAGGGACGGGCATGCAGGAAGAGACAGACAGGAGATCCAGCCACAGTCACCTCCGCTGTGCAGATGGGTCTCATCCGACCTTACCTGACTGTGTCAGAGGTCAGCTGTTGGTCGGCTCCCGACACATGGTCCAGGAAGGTGACATCCACTTTCTGGGCGTCCAGATGGAGAAAGGGACACAGAGTAACATATACCAACTATCCCCGAAGCTGCCACAAGCTGCTTCCCCTTATGTATCAATGGCCAGAGCTTAGTCACATGGCCACACCTAGCTGCAAGGGAAGCTGGGGGATGCAACTTCCATCCTGAGCACCCATATACCCAGCCAAAAATTGGAAACTCCAGCATCACACAAAAATAGCAACTATAGTCAACACTATCTTTCATTCTCACTGTGCCAGGGACGGACCGAAGCCCTTGACACACATCAGCACATTTCATCCTCACGACAGAGCTGTGAAGAGGGCACTAGCGTTGCCTCCATTTTCCAGACGAGAAGACTGAGGGACAGCGGTAACGTGAGTTAGTTAGTGGGCACCGTGGACCACGAGGCTGTGCAGTTTGGCCCCAGTCTGGGCTCTGTTCATGGTTCACAGGTACGAAGAGAGGGAGGCACGTGCGTCCTCTGCCCACATAGCAGCGTGGAAGTGAGAGAGGAAAGTGTCCCAGGGAAAAGGGACAGGAGGTGCAAAAGCTCCCCCCTCCCCAAACCCCACCTGCAGGAGCCAGGTCCTCTATCACAATGCCTCTCAAACTTAAACGTGCCGATGAATCTCTTGGAGATTATGCGGAATACACACTCGATTCAATAGGTCTGGGCTGGGGCCGGGAATCTGCCCACGATGCCCTAGCCGCTGGCCTCTGGACCACCCTTTGAGGAGGAAGACTGTGGTCAGAGGCCCACCACTGCAGGACTCCCTCCCGCGCAGGGCCAGCCAACGGTCTGCTGGGCCCAGTGGCCGCTCGAGGCCCTCAGGTTTCCAGTTTGGGCCGAGATTTCTTCCTCTCCCAAGAGTCCAAGTCCCTTATCGAATGAACAAACGAATGAACGAACGAATGAACGACAAGAAAATGCCAGAGATCAGAGGGACGGCGAGGCAACTGATCAGGCTGTGTGTAGACGCCATTGGGAAGAGTTTGGCTCCGGATCCCCCCCACCCACAGCAGCCCCCCCATACTGAGGCTGTGCGTTCCAACTCCTCCCGGAGGGCCAGGTACCAGCACGACCCTCTATTTATAGACAAGCTAACTGTCAGCAGGCCCCGCTTTTAGAGCAGGGGCCTCCACCTTCCTCCCCTGGGGTTTTTCAAGCCCCAAGACATGGAGACACCACAGCCTTGATGGCGGGGAGGGCGGTGCGGAGATGGGGAAGTTCGGAATGAGTGTCCTCTACAGGGGCCTTAGGTGATCTCAACTACCATCTCCTCTCTCCTCTAGCCCAGGGAGATGTGGACTACCTGTGACTTTCACAGAGGGAAACCGAGGCTCAGAGCCCAGGTGGCTATCCGCCTCTGAGGGTGTCCTGAGTACCCTCGGAAGGTGAGAGCAGAGAGCCACCCAGCCGACCACAGCAGCTCCCGGGGGAGGGGGGGGGCGGGGGGGGGGCTGAGCCCTTACACCGTGCCAGGGACTGCACCAAATCAACTTTCTCATTTGATCCCTAGGGGAACAGCCCTTGAATAAGTGCCCCGGTCCTCCTGATGCACATCGGGGACAGGGGTGGGACTCTGCGGAGAAGCCAAGCCCCCCGCTCCCCGCCCCCAACTCCAGAGGTGCAGCAGGGAACCGCCTGATGGTCAAACGGTGCACCTTCCAAACCAGGACTGCCTGCTCGCCCCTCTCACCCAGTGGCAGGCCCTTACTCCGAGCTAGACGCTGGGTACGGCCCAAATCCGGACCCTTCCACGTATTGGTCACAACTCAAGGAATCTGCTTTACAAATGCAACGAGCAGAAGCTCAGAGAGGCCGCGGGGCTGCCCCCAAGCCACCGAGAGGAGAGAGGGAGAGGGTGAAGGAACACAGAGCGCGGGGCTTGGCAGAGATGACGGTGTCGCTAAGCGCTCCTTCCCCGTCCCGGAGCCTCGACCTCCCAAGGCCCACCCCTCCCCCTCCCGGCCCGCGGGCCCCTTAAACCAGGCGGCGGAAGGGGCGTCCGGGCCAGCGGCGCCCAATGGGCTGCGCGGAGCGTCACTTCCCGGCGGTGAGCGGCGAGCGGCGGGTGTCTGGGTGGGGGGGCGCCCGGCGGGGGCGGGGCGGCCGGAGGAGGCGTTGGCAGCCGGCTGGGACCCACGCGGCGCCGCGGCCCGCCTGGCCTGCAGCGCTCCCACCCCTCAGCGGCGACGGCACGATGCCCTTTGACTTCAGGAGGTGAGTGTGGCGACCCCGGCCACCGGTAAGCCCCGTCTGCAGGCGCCGGGGGTGCCCGGGTACGCTGCGGGTTCCTCCTGCCTGTCACGCACAGGGCGCCCCTGCCCTGTGCATGCCTCGGCAGGCCCTCGGGGTCCCCAGGCCGGCCTCCAGCCACACACAAAGCCGGCCAGGGCTGCGGAGGGCCCCCTCGTGCAGCCCCCCACCTCCTCGGCAAAACCACCCACCTCCGGCCACACCATCCCTCTCCCCCCGCGCAACCCCCTCCCCAGCCTGCCCGTTCCTTGCAGCAGGTCCTCACACTTCACAGGCCCGCGTTGCCCTCCCTCCATCCTGGGACACAGATTTGCTCCCTCCTCCAGCTGGGAGCCCCGTGGCCATCCCTTTCCTGCCCTCTGCAGAGCCTCCTTTGGGGGACCCCACCCAGCTGACAGGTGCGTCCTGGGCACGTTGAAAGAGCCCCCAGGGATCCACAGGCTCTGCAGCCCATCCTGCCAGCGGGGCAGCTGGAGGGGTTTCAGTTACCATAGGCTCAGGCTGCCTCGGCTGGGCAGGCGGAACAGGAGGCCTGTCCCCCAGGCGAGTCCTGGTCCTCAGCTCTGGGTATGGAGGCGCCATGGCGAGGGGAGAGGCTGTGGAGCCTGGGCCAGTGCTGTGCAAGGGGCCCAAGGGTCTGGCCTTGGCTTCCTCCAGTCACCACAATGGGTCCTTTGTGGGTCCAACCGCCTCATGGTCCACATTGTACTGGGCTAGGCCTTCGGGAAGCCTGCCTGGGAAGGGGTCCCCGCCAGACTAACCCTTGGGACATGGAGCCCCAGGGATGCCCTGGCCTGAGGCAGCCACACCACGGGTGGTGTGGTCAGGAAAACAGCCCCGTTCGTGTGGGTGGGAGCCGAGTTAGAATCCAGGCTCTGCCCCTTCCACTGAGCAGCGGGCCAGCGGGCTTGCGTTCTAGAAGTCAGGGAGAAGGCTCTGCCTGCAGACCTCCCCTTGTCGCTTGGCAAGGTGACCTGAGCACGGGTCCCAGCTCGGTCAGCATCTCCACGTCCCCACCTGCGGATGGGGGTAACCCTCAAGTCCCACCTGTGAGTGCCGAGTGCGGGTTTAGAATCGGAAGTGAGTGGGTGAGCAGCTTTTCCGTGAGGCCATTTGCTTGTCTACAAAACCGGGGTTCCGGGGCCCACCTCCCAGGAGGGAACTCTCCCTCCCTCCATCAGGGTAAAGGGACAGCCCTCTCCAGAAGAAAAGCCTGGCAGTGACCCCCCACGGCAGGTGGGCACGGTGGGGGTCAGGCCTGCAGAGGGTGTTGGCCTGGGACCTCTCGCTCGCATGGGCTGACGTGGTGCTCCGGCCCGTCTCGGGCACTGGTGCCATCTCGCAAACGTCTGCCAGCTGCCTGCACCTTCCGTGCGGCCCGGAGGCCGGCGCCGGGTCCCAGACAGTTGCTTGAGGACACAGGGCTGTTTCGGACAAGGAAACTCCTCTGATGGAATTCAGGAGCCAGGCTGCCTCCTGACAGTGACATTCCAGCTATGAGTGAGAGCCACGGTCGGCACCTGGGTTCCTGGCTGCGCAGAGCTTCCGCTCTTCCAGGCTGCTACTTCCGGCCCCTTCTCCATCCCCACGTGGTTCAACCGTTTTTGACCTTGGGGGAATCCCTGCTTCTAATCATCGCATCCCTTCCCGCCGTACCTAATCCCCTCATTTTAAGAGGCTGAGCCTCTTGCCCTGGACCTCACAGGGGCGGGGTTGGAGGGTGGGCCAGGGCCCTGGTCACGTGCAGTTTCCTGACCTGGTGCCCCTGGAGTGGGAGGTTTGGAGTGTTCGGGGCTGTGGGGGCCCCAGCTTCATGCAGCACTTGCATCAGTCCCTGGAGGGCGCGGGCTCACCACCTGCCCGGGAATGCGGACTCGACACTTTCCATTCCAACCTCAGAGGATGAGCCCTTGGTGTCCCGAAACCTGCACTTTGCATAGATCCGTGAACTCCAGGGCTCGGGTTCGAAGGGGGGTTCCACCGCCCCAGACACCTTCCCCTTGGTCGGCGTGGAGTCACCAGATGTTTACCGCGCTTGGCTCTCTGTCCTGCGTCCCACGGAGCCGATGTGTGGCCCTGCCCTCGCAGCACTGGGCGGGGGGGGGGAGGGAGGCGGGAGTAGAGCACTCACCCATGTCACCTGTGAGAGGCAGTTTTACTCTCATTTTAAGTCACAGGACGGGGAGACTGGCTGCCCAGGGCCATGGCGAGCTGGCGGAGCCGGGGTTTGAATTTGGGGCCGTGAGCACCAAAGCTTTAGCTCCTGGGGGGGGAAGAAAGGGGAGGGTGTGGAGGGTCCCGCAACCCTGACAGGGTGGTTGAGAACCTTGGGGAGTGGAGCGGGGCACACTCTGATCGGACCCCCTCCCCCACTCCGGGGCCTGGGAGTGAGCCAGGCTTCCTGCTCTGTTTGTTCTCCTTAAAACCAAGTCGGGAGGATTTTGCCCTTTCTTATCAATACTCCTTGTTTTCCTACTGTCGGGTGGGGGGGGGGGGGCTTGTGCAGCCGTCCTCCTGGGCCTCTTCCTGTCCAGAGTTGGGGGTGAGAGAGTGGGGAGGGCTCGCTGAGGGGGCTACATGGGGTAACCTGTGCGCAGCATTTAGACACGGGAGACCCCCAATACACCCTGGTACCTGTTGGCATTATTTGTGGGGGTTTTTTTCACCGAAGCACCTGTGCTCTCTGACGCTCAAACGTGGTTTATTATGCTTGTCCTCCTTCTCCCTCCCGTTAAAACGCAAGCTCCCCAGGGCAAAGATTTTTATCTGTTTGATTCATTGGTGACTCCCAGGACCTGGCCTGGGCCGCCCTGGCTCCTTAGACGTACCGGGCAGGTTTTCAGCTATTGGTGACTTTTCCCCCCTTCTTTCCTTGAATTGGCTCTGAATTGCTGGGGGTAGGAAAGGAGGCAGGGTCTAGCTAGAGGAAGGAGCGGGGGCCTTCCAAGATGGCTTGTGTTTGCTTTGCTTCTGGTGCGTTGTTGCATCAATCGCTGAACCCTGCGGTTGTGGAAATGGGCTCGTGACCCAGATCCGGGGGCGCTGGCCCAGACCGGACCCAGTTCCTGGTGGCGGGGGGGGGGGGACGAGTACCACCTGCTGCCTCCCGCTCAGCTCAGCCTGGGGTAGGTGACGGGGCAGTTCCTGCAGCCCAGGCTGGGCGGGGCAGGGGCAGGGGGAACTTCAGCACTGCTTTTAGGGGGGCGGAGGTGGCCGGCTCGCCCACAGGGGGGGCCCCCGAGTTGAAACTCCAAGATCTGGGGTGTGCCACTACCCTGCACTGACCAGCTGTGTCCTGTGACAGTTGACTCGCCTCCTCCGAGCCTCAGTTTCTTCATTTGCAAGGGGATCAGAGCCTTCCCTGGCTCACCGGGAAAGGTAGACACAGAGGCATGTGCGATGTCCCCGCAAGGTAGGGCTGCTGCATAATTTGTGGGGCCGAGTGCACGATACAAATTCAGATCCCCTTGTTGGAAAAATGTTAAGAATTTCAGGACGGTGACAGCACAGCACTGAGCTCAGCACGAACCCTCCTGAGCGTGGGGCCCTGGGAGACGGCCGAGGTCGCACACCCGTATCGCCCGGGTCGCACGACCCGAGGTCACGTACCGTCAGCCCTGCGGCGGTGCCCAGCAAACGGCCCTTCCAAGTGGCCCTCCCTCCAGGAGACCCCAGCCCTCCAGCCCCAGAGAGACCCCCTGAACGAGTTCCCCAAAATGGACCAATTTTTGCATTTCCTGGTTTCGGCCTTCAAGCAGGATCCATTGCTCTGAGGGCCCAGGATGAATTCCTTAGCTCCCTCTGTGATCTGAGGGGCACCCCCTGCAGACCCTTGTGGGGGCCCCCCCTCACTGCCTACAGCCAGCTGAGCTGCGGGGTTCTGAGCTCGGGGTTCTGAGCCCAGAGTTCACACTCCGCAGGCTGTGGCTGACAGGAGCCCCTGTTTGTCCACCCGGTCTCATTCCAGAAGACACTTGGGGAAATTGATGGGAACCCAAACTTTACAACAAGTGTTTTAAAAATTTTAAATAAACTGGAAAAACCTAATCTAAGAAAGATTCGACCAGAGGAAAACTTACGTGAAAACCAAACCAGTGTTATGCGATGGCTGAGCACTTACTGGGGCCAGACCTGCTGTAACGTTTATCGACTCATTTAGTCCCCCGGGAGCCCCCTTAGGCAGGCGTCTCGGTCGCCCCACTTCACAGGTGAGCCCGTGGAGGTGCAGAGGGAGGGACACGCGGGTGGGCAGAGGCGCCGGGCCTGGAGCGCTGCCGCCTGGCCCCACAGCCCCACTGGGGACCGGCGGGCTGTCTCTGACGCTCACCAAGTTCAGAGACACAGAAACCTCCTCTAATTGGATTCATCGACTTTCTTCTTGTCACTAATCCTTTCCTAACCACGCTCATTAAGAAGCTTAAAGCTGCCCACCTTTTTTTTTTTTTTAACACCAGCCTCAGGTGGCCTGACACCCATTTCTGAAATTGCCTCTAAAGGCCCCCCGCAGCGGCCTCACACCAGCTTAGGGCCTCTCTCACCCTGAACGGTGCAGGGCCCCTCTAGGCTGCCGCGGCCTTGGAGCGGGGAGTGCGTGTTTACCGGCTTGTCTGGGCACAGAAGGAGACGGAAGCCGTCCTCCCGAGGTGCTCTGGGCTCCTGGCGGAGAAGCCACAGGACCCTGAGCCGGGGGTGGCCTCGTGATCCCATCCCCAGTGCCAGTCCCCATCTGGCAACCCTTCCACCCTTTAGTTTGGAGTCGCTGCAGGCAATTTGCCTCAGGTCTCGACTGGCAGGCACGCAGGGAGGGTGTGAGGAGGGCATGTGGGGCGGGGCTCACCAGCTGACTCTGCACCAGCGAACCTCACCTCGGGCTGTGGGTCACAGTCACTCAAGGCCCCCAAACCGGGCTGCACCCCAGACCCCATAGTCAGGCTCTGGCAAAGGAGGGAGGCAGGCGTCAGAGA